GATCAATACAGTATTACCTACGATGCACTATTCCCATAAGCGTGGGTATGTGGAAGTTCATAGCCAAGGTTCAGGTGCGTTTCATACAAGAAGATATAGACATAATCCCGATGGCAATAGGAGTTCGAAGGAAGCTAATACAGTTGATTTATAACAGTGAAGTAAATGGAAATCACTTTTCAGTCCTCGTTGAGGCACAAACGTATTTAAATGAGTTGGTAAACAAGAGACGGTGGCAACTCCACGTTGTGGCAAATTTACACACTACTACAGTTTGACTAAAGTTTACAAACACCACGGTCAGTCACACAAAGTCCCCCAAATTTAAAAGGGATTTTTAAATGCGCTGGGGAACACGAGACGAACAATTGTGCATATTTAGATGACGATTCCACATTATAACGCAGCGTGAAAATGGCAATTTAAACTTTGCTTGCAGATTTTCCCGGGGCAGATTTACATAATACTACAGTTTGATAACACGGCCAGTCACACAAAATCCATCAAAAGGGAACTGCAAGTTGTATAATGCCAAAACAGTACCATGATTTCACAACTTTCGAAATATGTTCGCTTTTATCGATGTCCACTGTACATCAGTAAATGTCTTCCCATTTCGCAAGAACACAAAGCCTAAACTATCAGAAATTCGTAACACATAATTCGAGTGATGCTATAACAAAATAACTCATCATATGTAAATTCAATCCATCGAAAAAGTATAAAAAACATTTTCATAAACAATTTTTATTATATAAATACACTTTGAAAAGAAACAAGATTCATAAACATAAATCTATTTGAATATATTCTCACTACAAATTACACAATACTTATTTTCTAATGGAGTTTCTTCACAACACAAACTATTGGAATCCATGCACACGTGTGAGTACTTTAATGACACATTTCATAGCTATGCCCAAAATAGTCCATCATTTATTGCGCAACTGTGGCCAAACGACGACATTCTGTTAACATCCACACATTTTCATAAAATCTCCATGCACTTTTTGACCTTTCATAAGTAAAATACACTACAATTTACTCCAGAAACAAATTTTCTTGGTACATTCCTACATTCTTGCATACTAATGAGGGGTTCAGACACATTCCAAGCTGAACAATTTTCTTGGACTAATAACAAAGCTGGTCAATCCTTTCCCAGCAACAAGATAGCACCTTAACAAATAAAACTGGGCGTATGGCGTACACAATGGTAACTGGCACGAGCACAGAACACTGCTTTTCCTTTCATAAATGGCAAACTGACTGTACCTATATTTAACTTCCTATTCATACCTCAAACTAGCAAAGACTAAAGTGTGACAAACCTGGTGCTCGGATATCATCATATGTATCAGCTGGAATGTCTTGATAATCAGATTGACTGGAAGGTGGTGGTGCTTGGTGTCATCATACATTTCTTCAACTTGTGGTGGTGGAGCTTTAACATCTTCATACTCCACTGGTTCTGGTTCTGGTTCTGGCTCTAGTTGTGGTTCTGGTTCTCGCGGTGGCACCACTGTCTCTTGATAAGTATCCTCAGGTTCTGGTTCTGGTGGTGATGGTGATGGAGCTCTTGCTCTGGATGCTGCTTCTTCTTCTTCCGCTGCTCTTCTCTCCTACAAATAAAATGATTGCATTTCTGTTTGCTTGGCAACCCAAAAAACTTGGACTAATAAATTCAATCCTGTTCAGAAACAGACTTGCAATTTTAAGATTTCAAAGCACCTTTACCACAAGTACAGTTTTTTGCGATATCAAAGTTTAGTAATCAGCATGCATGGTTTTCAACATTAAACTAATTATGTCATTGAAATGTGATGACTACACATATTAAGAAAATCAGGCACTTAGTATGCTTGAATTTCAATCATACTTCATCAATCTTTAAGCAGGCACCAAGTCTTATTTAAATGCAAAAATTATTATATTTTTTTTTTTGAGATCTATAAAAAAAATAAACACGTACCAGAGTAACATTATGACCAATGTATGCACAAATATCAAATAAAATTTGCCCACACATGCCACACACACACATGATTTAGTTCCAGAATTAAAAAAAAAGCATGATTTTGATGAATTTTTGCACTGAAATGGTCACCATTAGGTCATACTAAATAGAACCACATAATGAATCCACATGCATAATGTATCCCAAAATGTTTACGCCAGTCTGAGTATACCTGATATATTTGAGCAGGGGTGAAAATATTTTACTTACTGCTTCAGCCCTTTTATTTTCTCTTTCTTTATCTCTTCGATCTTTAGCCTCTCTTCTCTCTTTTTCAGCTTCAGCTCGTCTTCGGGATTCCTGAAAATGAATAATATTGTGTTGCCTAGGTGATATTGGCTCATATAATAATGTATAATTACGATCAATCTTTATGATGAAGATGGGTCTATGTTACATTATTTTAAGTTTTGAGTTTTTAACAGTTTTTAAGAGAGATATTTAACAAGGAGCCAATATTCCCATTTGCAACTATTTATAGTGAGGGATATCTAACATG